TTAAAATAAATGCCGGCTTATAATAACTCAAATCACATACACAGAAACACTCAAGCACATAAACATTAACTTTTCCTTTTCTTTTCTTTGTAACTCTACACCGAGCTTTACTAAAAGAAAAGGCACCAGTTCTTACTTTACCAAATAAACTTAGCTAAAACAAATAAAACCTTTAAACTCTAAACCGAGTTAAATTAAAACAAAATTCACTAGTTTCTTCACCGAAACCTAGCTAAAACAACAAAATAAACCTTTAAACTCTTAACCGAGTCACTCACTAGCTTCTTTACCGAAGCTTAGCTAAAACAAATAAAACCTTTAAACTCTTAACCGAGTCACTCACTAGCTTCTTTACCGAAGCTTAGCTAAAACAAATAAAAGAAATCATTAAACTCTCAACCGAGTCTCTCACTAGCTTCTTTACTGAAGCTTAGCTAAAACAACAAAAGAAATCATTAAACTCTCAACCGAGTCTCTCACTAGCTTCTTTACCGAAGCTTAGCTAAAACAAATAAAAGAAATCATTAAACTCTCAACCGAGTCTAACACTAGCTTCTTTACCGAAGCTTAGCTAAAACAACAAAATAAATCATTAAACTCTCAACCGAGTCTAACTAAAACAAAGAAACAGACAGGGTTTTTCCACCAAACCCGAACTTGGCTAAATCTGCAAGCACTTAACCACACTTGGCAGCATTATATAACAGTATTAAGTAAGTAATAAAACAGATTCTCAAGCAGACACTTTCACACATAAAACTCACACTCAGGACGTAGATAGACAAATTGAAAGGTTCTATTGAAATAAAGGGGACATGTGGGCATACTATATACCTGTCGAAGACGTTAACAGGAAGCAGAGTGAAGGAACGGAGAGTAAACGAAGTCCAAAGAAAGGAAAATATAGGGTAAGTAACTCATTTACCATATGCAGAGGTGATCAGGCTCTTTTTTTTTTTTCCAATCTCTGGGAGTCTCCTCTCCGGTCCTGGGATTTTACGGCTTCCTTATTACCGTAACCCTCACATCCCGGACGAGCCCCCAAATTGTTTTGGATCAAAGAAAACTTTGATTATTTGTCTATCTACTCCTTCCAAATTGATTAATTAATGCGTGCACACTTTCCCTAGAAGTAATTCACACCGGAGACAAAGTTTCTGGTCAGTGAAAAACCAAGGAATGCTTTATTCCCCGGAGTGGGGGCTCCTTCTTAAAGCAAAAATACGTCACAGTTTAAACATACAGTATACATTCAACAATTGGTTAACAGTCTAAGGGGTCTTGTCTAAACTCCCCCCCCCCACAGGATGTAGTGTCATCATTACAGACTTCTCCCGCCTATATTCCAGCTCCTGGATACACGATGGGAGGGGGAGTGAGTAGTTTCTTTCAGTTACTTTAACAGTGATTCTCCATTTTGTTACACGTGGCATATAGCTGTTAAAGGACCACTATAGTGCCAGGAAAACATACTCGTTTTCCTGGCACTATAGTGCCCTCAGGGTGCCCCCACCCTCAGGGTCTCCCTCCCACCCGGCTCTGGAAGGGGGAAAGGGGTAATAACTTACCTTTTTCCAGCGCTGGGCGGAGAGCTCTCCTCCTCATCTCCGCCTCCGATCCGCCCGCTGAATGCACACGCGCGGCAAGAGCTGCGCGCGCATTCAGCCAGTCTCATAGGAAAGCATTTACAATGCTTTCCTATGGACGCTGGCGTGCTCTCACTGTGATTTTCATTAGGGGGATTAGGGGGAAGGCTTAACCCATTCATAATTATAGCAGTTTCTCTGAAACTGCTATAATTATGAAAAAATGGGTTAACCCAGAAGGACCTGGCACCCAGACCACTTCATTAAGCTGAAGTGGTCTGGGTGCCTAGAGTGGTCCTTTAACTGGCACAAAGGAAGTGGGGGAGGAGTTAGTAAAGGAAGCTGTTAACACAGGAATTTTGGTTACACGAGGTTTGCTTGATGGGAAGGGGGATGCTTAGCAGGATACAGAGGAATTTACAGAAGAAACAGCAACTGAACACATTGTAGGGGGGGAAGGGAATATTTACTCTAGCAGCCAGTTTTAACATAGTGTACACAGAATAAAAAGACATTAGTAAATAGCCATTTTATTCTACTTCATCTGTCCATAACAATACATACACAGACATACATTCATAATGACATACAGACATACATTCATACTGGCATACATTCATACAGACAGACATACATGCATACAGACACTGACATCCATACATACATACATTCATAATGACATGCAGACATACATACACTGTCATTCATACATACAGACATGCATACAGACATACATACATACATACAGACATGCATACATACAGACATGCATACAGACAGACATGCATGCATACAGACATGCATACACATACATACATACATACATACAGACATGCATACATACAGACATGCATACAGACAGGCATACAGACAGACATGCATACATACAGACAGACATACATACAGACATGCATACATACAGACATGCATACATACAGACAGACATACATGCAGACATGCAGACAGGCAGGCAGACATGCAGGCAGACATGCAGACATACAGACAGACATGCAGGCAGACATGCAGGCAGGCATGTAGACAGACAGACATTCATAGATACACACACACACACAGCTCATTTTCCAGCCACCCTCCTGTCTCTTACCTTGTCTTTGCAGGAGGGTGGCTGGGGATGATGGGAGTAGTCGGCTGGCTCTCCCTCACTGCCGGGCGCGCGCTCCTCTTCCACTACTTCCTCCCAGCAGCACTTGCTGCGGCTGTTTTTTTTTTTTTTTTAAAGGGGCCCGTTCACGCTATTCCACGGCCACAGCGCTGACCGGACCCCTGAAGATATAGGGCCCATCGGGTGGCCCTAAGTGTGCTCCGGCGGCAGTTCCGCCTCTACATGTGGGGCCCGGGCATTATGGTTGTCACCCCCTGATGGCGGCCCTGCCTGTGAGTCTGTGCATGGGGGCTGTGTAGGATGATGCTCCAAGTCACAGTACAGATATGGACATAAACAGGAGAATTGTCATGGGTAAGCCAAAGGTCAGTGGGTGCCAGAAATCAGGATAAACTAGTAGAGAGCTGAGGTCAGAGGATGCCAGAAGTCAGGATACATAAAATAAGAAATTGTTCCAGTACTGAGCTCCATATCAAGCACATTACACAGGTTGCAATCCGCACGGAACTCCCTGAAAACTTACGATATCTCACTACAAAGCAAAGAAAGCTGCATCCAAAGCCAAAAAATTTAATTTCTTCACCTAAAAGGGTCCCGCAGCACTTCAGGCCTCGCAACTTGACATCCAAGATGGCAACGGAGACTCAGATGCAAGCATCCTGACTAGGGCCGGCGTTAGGGGTGTGCGAGCTGTGCGGCTGCACAGGGCACATGGCTGGGTGACAGGGGAGCTAAAACAGGTACCTGGGTGGAGGATTAATTATTCTCCACCTGGGTCTATAAAAATCTTTTTTTAAATATATATATTTTTTTAAATCAGCGGCATCGAGGGTGGGGGCTTATAACAAGGTGGCGGCGGAGCTAATAAATACTAGAAGCTCCCTGGTAACTGCTGCACAGAAATTGCATCCTCTCCCCCTTCCATCCATAATGGAAAGAGGTAAGTCTGTGTATGTGTGTGTGACTGCCTGCCTGTGTGTGACTGTTTGCCTGTTTGTGTGACTGCCTGCCTCTGTGTGTGTGTGTGTGTGTGTGACTGTCTGCCTGCCTGCCTGTGACTGTCTGTCTGTGTGACTGCCTGCCTCTGTGTGTGTGACTGCCTACCTCTGTGTGACTGCCTGTGTGTGACTGTCTGTGTTACTGCCTGCCTGTGTGTGACTGCCTGCCTGTGTGTGTGCCTGTCTGTGTAACTGCCTGTCTGTGTGTGTATGTGTGTGTGTGTGTGTGACTGTCTGCTTGCCTGTGTGTGTGACTGTCTGTGTGACTGCATGTGTGTGTGTGTGTGACTGTCTGCCTGTGTGTGTGTGACTGTCTGTCTGTGTGACTGTTGGTGTGTGACTGTCTGCATGTATGTGTGTGACTGTCTGCCTGTGTGTGTGTGTCTGTCTGCCTGTGTGTGTGTGACTGTCTGCCTGTGTGTGTTTGACTGTCTGTCTGTGTGACTGTCTGTGTCTGTCTGTGTGTGTGACTTTCTGCCTGTGTGTGACTGTAACTGTGTGACTCCAATTGTGTGTGTTGCTGTAGCTGTGCCGTTGTGTGTACCTGTGTCTGTATGTGTAACACTCTACCTTTAACTGAGTGTGTACCTATCAGCGTGCCTGAGTGTCTGCATGCCTGTAACTGAGCGTGTCTGACTAGCTGCTTGCAACTGAGCATGTCTGACTGTCTGCCTGTGCCTGTGTGTGTGACTGTATACCGGCAACTTGGTTGAGGGGGGGAGGGGGCGCCGTGAAGACTTTTCGCACATGGCATCTAATGGACTAAAGCTGGCCCTGATCTCGAATCACATGATGGAGCACTCACAAGCCGAACACATTACCAAAGAATTTTTGCAACAAGCTCTAGATGCTCTATCAAACACATTGATACCTCCTGGCAACACATGGCGGATGCCCTACGGAAGGAGATGCAGGAGATAGGCACCTGCATTTCTCACGAGGAACACAAGATGGGGGAATATGCCACTGCACACAATAAACTGGCCATCCATGTCCAGAGCCTGGAACACAAACTTGAGCTCCTGGAAACCAGGATTGCCATCCTTGGAAGGCAGGGCACAAAGGAACAACCTGTGGCTGCGGGGAGTGCCAGAATCCGCACTACATATGGACCTACAAGCCTACACAAGAGGCCTACTTCTGGCCTATGCGCCAGATATCCCAGCTGCTGATCGGGTACATTGTGTCCCAAAACCACACTACCTCCCAGATTCAGCACCAAGGGATGAGCTCCTCAGAGCACACTACTTCCATATAAAGGAACTGATTTTGAAGGCCTGCAGCAATCGAAGCATGCCGCACGAAGACTATCCCACCCCGAGGATCTTTACGAATCTCTCCACGGTAACGCTGAAGCACAGAAGAAGCTTCCAAACAGTGGTGGATGCCCTGCGACATCACGGAACGAGGAACCACTGGGGATACCCGACCAAATTACTGGTCCAACGCGACGGAGTCATAAAACCGATATTCACCCCAGAAGAGGGCCTAGCCAAGCTAACAGAATGGACCATACCAATCAAGCCTGATACTACCGCTCATCTTCCACAACAGAGACTGACACCAGAATGGTGCACGACACATAAAAAACTCTCATAGATATGCAGTTCCATGGGTCACAAGTATTGTTTAGCTATAAGTTTATTGTTTCAATATGTAATTGCACTACATTGGTTAGCTGATATGTTCCCTGCTGATATGTTCCCTGATCCGTATGTTATCAGGGAGCCAATTTCTGAACATATAACCCCAGGTGTATCACAGCAGACGGGTTACGAATCCCTATTATAGTTTCTATTATCCTTAGCGTGGCCCAAACTCCCCTCCCCCTCCGGAGCTTTTTTAGCCGCCATCATCTAACTAGCTGGCCCACAGCGGATCACTAGCTGGCCCACAGCGGATGCTTGAATCGCTCTCATATCTTGTGATAGAATTTATCTTGATTCCAAGGCTCAAGCTTATAGGTGTCATATAATGATATCCTATAGTAAAATTGGCTAACTTGGACTCAGGAAATGCTTGATACTTGACACGACACTTAAGACCATATATGTCTAGTTCCGGGAGAAGAAAGCCCCCACCTGAGATGTCTCTTCTCTAATCTTTTTGTTCTTTCTCACCTTGGAACTTATTTGTTATGTGTACATGACATTCATCCCTATGTCTTATCTGTACTCCCTCCCTATTACTGTTCTATGAGTATTTGCACGTAAGCACTTACTTTTTAATGTATAAAACCCAGCTGATGAATAAAATGGCAGAGGCTTATTTTGAATACCAACAGGTGTCTGGTGTCTAATTCTCGCTTCTCCAAGTGCATTTGTAATAATAATTTGGGCTTCCTCTGAATATAACAAAGATCATTATTTGGATCCACAACAATCTACCCGAGAGATTTGCCATCTATATCGGCCCATAAGCTTGGCTGGGGACACTAGGCCCTTCGGTGTCGGCAATAAACAAATTTCCTTCACCGGCTGCATAGCTCAGCTTTTTATACTCTGATCTGGTGGAGGCTCTCACCCATTCTGAGGTAATGCTAGCATGCTTACCTATGACTTTGCTATCATTATTTTCGTATATTATTGTCCTTAGGATGTTTACTGTTAACCACCTTTGTATGCCTTTGGTCAATTGCACGCGTAAACGCGACATGGTTGCATGCATCTACACGCCCCAAAACAAGTTTGACAAAATATAGTTGCAAAAGGTTTGACCACTGCCACATACACCCTGTTCCAAATTATTATGCAAATTATATTTTTCTCATTTACCTAAATAATTTATGTAACTAACAGTCAACATAATTCTCATGTTATCAAATATTAAGAGTACAATTCAAATTTTATTGAACAAACCTCCTAACAGTATTTTTTTTTAAACATAAAAAACTTACAATGCACTTTTCCAAATTATTACGCACAGTAAGTTTTAAAACACTTTATAGGTTGTAAAGAATTGAAAATTGTCATTTGTTGTGTTTGCAGCATATTTACTGAAATCAAAAGCTATTTCAATCAAACTTATAACAACATTTTAACTTTTTAAACATTTTATCAGGTCACGTTACATTTTAACATAGGACCCCTTATTTGATAGCAGCTTCACAAGTCTTGCATCCATTGAACCTGCGAGTTTTTGGACAGTTTCTGCTTGAATTTGTTTGCAAGATGTCAGAATAGCCTCCCAGAGCTGCTGTTTGGATGTAAACTGCCTCCCACCCTCATAGAATTTTTGCTTGAGGATGCTCCAAATGTTCTCAATATGATTGAGGTCAGGGGAGGATGGAGGCCACACCATGACTTTCTCTCCTTTTATCCCCATAGCAGCCATTGATGCAAGGTATTCTTTGCAGCATGAGATGGTGCATTGTCATGCATGAAGATGATTTTGTTACGGAAAGCATAGTTCTTCCTTCTGTACCAGGGAAGAAAGTGGTCAGCCAGAAACTCCACATACTTTGCAGAGGTCATCTTTACACCTTCGGGTACCCTAAAGGGGCCGACCAGCTCTCTTCCCATGATTCCGGCCCAAAACATGACTCCACCACCGCCTTGCTGACATCGCAGCCTTGTTGGAACAGGGTGGCCGTCCACCAACCATCCACTACTCCATCCATCTGGACCATCCAGAGTTGCACGGGACTCATCAGTGAACAGGACTGTTTAAAAATTAGTCTTCATGTATTCTGCCCAATGCAGCCATTTCTGCTTGTGAGCATTGGTTAGTGGTGGCCGAATAGAAGGTTTATGCACAGTTGTAAGACTCTGGAGGACTCTATACCTTGATGTCCGTGGGACTCCAGAGGCGCCAGCAGCTTCAAATATCTGTTTGCTGCAATGTAATGGTATTTTAGCAGCTGCTCTCTTGATCCAATGCATGGATCTGGCAGAAATCTTCCTCAATGTGCCTTTCTCTGCACAAACCCATCTGTGCTCTGAATCAGCCATAAATCTCTTAATAGTGCGATGATCACACTTACGTTTTCGTGAAATATGTAATGTTTTCATACCTCATCCAAGGCATTGAACTATTTCACTCTTTTCGGCAGCAGAGAGATCCTTTTTCTTCCCCATATTGCATATTGCCTGGTGGCACACGGGGCAGACCGCCCCCTCCGCCCCCCCCTTAATACGCCACTGCCATCCATGAGTTAAACTGAAAAACAAAATATTTAATCTTTGTGACACTTAAATAGAATAATAATTTGGAACAGGGTGTAATGTACATAGTCACGCCAGACCAGACAGTTACCGTTCACCCTAGATGACTTAGTACCCAATGCTGACAAATACAGGACACTGAACCCTTCTATATGGGGCCCTAGATATGCATTACTGCTTGGGCTGGTAAGCCCCATGGAAAAGGACCCTTAGCTCAACCCAGTAATCTGACCCCTTAAAACATATCTCTAGTGGCATTCTGTAACCCTCTCTGGCTTGACGGATAAGCTACGTTTTGTTGATTTCTGCACTCTCAATGCTACCCGGCCAGCTACCAATAATATTGGCTAAATGTTTGCATTCCCAAATGTAGCAGAACGCGATACAACAGCCCAAAAATAAGTCACTCTTAGATCTCAACAGCCACAACACTGGAGACTTCCACTTCTCCTACCCCCAAGGTGCGGGTCCCCTGCACCATGTTCTCTTGAGAGGAAACACAGTTCACCCCATCCCAGTTCTTTTACCCTTGTCTTGTACTACCTTCTCCCCCACCCACAATATCATGCTTAGAAACACTCTTCTCGCCATCAAGTTCTGCCCTGGACACAGAAAAGTCTGCCAACACTCCATTGGGTTTACGACAATCTCCATACAGCAACACCTTACAACCCCCCAGACTATGAAAATACAATCACACAATACACCGGGGTTTAAACCAACCACATAAGCGTTGCGTCCTCCTAGATGGAGCACGGAGGGGAAAGATTGCTATACTCTGCATCCAAGAGACACATTTTGTCACTAACAGGGTCCCTAAGTTTGGTCTCCACGACTACCCGACTCAATATCACGCAACCCATACCTCAAAATCAAAAGGAGTCTCATTCCTAATACACCCCTCCCTATCCTTTGAATTGTTGCACATTCAGAAAGATACCCAAAGGAGGTTTATCACTTTACATTGCATGGTAAATGAAGTTGAATGCATCCTAGTGGGGATCTACAGCCCAAATGCTCACCAAAGGGACTTTCCATATAAAATACTCACCAAGCTCCCTAAAGCTACTTCAGGAGCACTCATTATCTGTGGAGACTTAAACCACGTATTAGATTCACACGCTGACACAAACCTACCTGACCGATCCCCTAGACACTCGGCAATATGGACGCAAAGCAAAGCCCTACTCAAACTCATGCCCAAACATGGTATCTATGATGCTTGGAGAATGCTTAACCCCATGGGAAGGGAATGTACTTTCTACTCCAGTGTGCATAAGTCGTTCTCCAGGATAGATCATAGACCATAGACCACTTACTCCCAAGGATCACACGGTGCTCTATTGGAGACATTGTGTGGTCGGATCATGCGCCACTCATATTAACACTCCGAGGCCAATTTCCACATAGGGGACAAGCACCATGGCGTCTCAATGACTCCCTTCTGCAAGACCCTAAGTTTCTTGCTCAGCTGACACAAAATCTGGAGGTCTACTTCAAACTAAACAATTTTCCTGAAACCTTCCCTGTCTCCTTTTGGTAAGCCCACCATTAGAGGTATGTGTAACGTAAATCCAACCACGAACACATTGACCTGCTGCGCTCCCTACGAGATGCCACGAATGCACACCCTATACAACCGGCGGATGCACATTTGAAAACCACTGCAGATGCCACCAAGCGCATAAATGAAATACACTTAGCCAAAACATTTTACACAATTGAATGGCTCAAAATGCGACACTGCTCTCAGGGTAACAAAGCAGGGAAGGCGCTAGCTGCACTGCTGAGGAAAAGACAAGCATAATCTAAAATACCGTACTTACTTTCGGGCTCAAACGAAAAAATTTATAATCCCCAAGACATAAATAATGAAATGGCCTCTTTCAACCATACTTTATACAATCTGAAACACGACAACTCAACACATCACCCCACCGAGTTAGAGATTGACAACTTTTTAAACCTCATAACACTGCCGTCTCTATACCCACAACAACAGGGGACATTACAAAACCCTGTAACATGCCGGGAAATCTTGCAAACTATAGCATCCTTGCCATTGGGAAAATACCCTGGGCCAGATGGCCTCACAAACTCCAACTATAAGCTTTTTCCCATATCCTGGCCCCAAGGTTTGAACCAGTATACAATCACATCATAGGCCCAGGTGATATGCCACACGAGATGCTAATGGCACATGTAGCCACTCTCCCCAAGCCAGGGAAAACCCCCACCAAAAGTCAAAATCTGCGGCCAATATCGCTACTCAAAATGGATACCAAGCTACTCGCCAAAATTTATGCCAATAGGCTGTCACAAATAATTTCTACGATTATACATACATCCTTCCAGGACCTATTGGTTTGTGTATCGCAACGAAGCCGCTCACAGCACACGTCCCTCTGGAGTGAGGCTCCCGCAGGGACGCTCGGA